TTCAATGTGCTTGGTTCTTTCATGAAACACCGGATTAGAGGAAATATGAACTGTAGCCTGATTGTCACAATAGAGCTTCATTGGAGTGTTGATGTTGTACCYTACTTCCTGTAGAAGGTTYYTTAGCCACACTAATTCACAAGCGGTGTGCGCCATAGCCCTATATTCTGCTTCTGCACTACTCCTTGCCACAACCGTCTGCTTCTTACTTTTCCATGTCACCAGGTTACCTCCCAAGAAAGTCATGACTAAATACAGAATGRTCAACTTTGCACTGTTTCATACCAAACTTCTTTACTACCTCACTGAACCTACCAAACCATGCTCGAGGAGACTGTTTAAGCCCATATATAGCCTTCCTTAGTCTGCACACCTTACCATCCTCCCCCTGAGCAACAAACCCTGGAGGTTGCTCCATGTAGATCTCTTCGAGTAAGCCACCATGCAAAAAGGCATTCTTGATATCAATTTGATGTAGTAGCCAATCATACATGGCTGCAAGAGATATCACAACACGAACTGACCCTATCTTAGCAACTGGTGAGAAGGTCTCTATGTAGTCAATACCATAGGTTTGGGAGTACCCTTTTGCAACCAATCACGCTTTCAAGCGTTCAACACTACCATCAGGCAGATACTTAACCGTATAAACCCATTTACAACCAACAACTTGCTTCCYAGGAGRAAGAGCRRTGARGTCCCAAGTATGATTATGATGAAGGGCAGAGAGTTCTTCTTCCATCGCTCGGCACCACCCTGGAGAGGCAAGGGCTTCCTGGACATCCTTAGGGACAACAACTGATGATAACAAGGTGACAAACTGGCGATGGGAGGTGGAAAGGTGAGTAAGTGAAACATAATTAAAAATATGATGAAGGGTGCAAGTGCGTTTACCTTTCCGCAAGGAAATGGGGAGATCAAGCTCAGATGCTGAGTGTGGGTCTGGTGCCAGATCTGTCGACGGAGATGTAGCCGGAGGAGTAGTAGTTGGTACGCGTGGGCGATGTGTATATACACATGACGGATGGGTGGGCATTCAACAGGTGGTGGCACCGGAGGCAAGGGTTTGGTCACGACTAAAACAAGGGGAAGAGGGTCGGCAACGGGAAGTGGAAGAGGAGGAGGTCATGAAGAGGATGAAGCATCACCGGACCCCAAAAAGAACGGAGTGGACTCAAAAAATGTGACATCAGCACACACAAAAGACCGTCGAGAACCAGGATGGTAACACCTATACCCTTTCTGGGTCCGAGAATAGCCAAGGAAGATGCACTTAAGAGAACGGGCATCGAACTTGTCATTCTCGAGACCCAGATTATGGACGAAGCAGACACACTCAAATACCCTAAGTGTAAGAGGAAACGGAGACAAAGCAGGAAACAAGACCGTAAACGGAGAATAACCATCAAAGATGAACGTGGGCATCCGATTAATCAGAAAGCAAGAGGTAAGCACTGCATCACTCCAAAAGGGTTTGGGAACATGCGTGTGATGCATTAGGGACCGTGCGGTTTCCAGGAGATGGCGATTCTTTCTCTCAGCCACCCCGTTTTGTTGTGRGGTGTAGGTACATGAGGTCTGATGTATAATGCCGTGTTGGTCCAGGTATTCTTGAAATGATGAGGATAAATATTCACGGCCATTATCAGAACGGAAAACTTTAATGTGGGTACCAAATTGATTACGAATCTCAGCATAAAATTTCTGAAAAATGGTAAACAATTCACTTTTTTCTTTCATTAGATAGAGCCACGTCATCCTTGAAAAATCATCTACAAAAATGACAAAATATCTGTATCCATTATATGACATCACTTTATAAGGACCCCAAACATCTGAATGAATTAACGAAAAAGGACTTGACACACGGTTATCAACCCTAGAACTAAAGGGAACACGATGGTGTTTCCCAAATTGACACGACTCACAATCCAAAATAGAAAGCTGACTGAAAGACGGAACCAAAGACTTCAAAACTTTTAGCGACGGATGACCAAATCGGCAGTGCCGCTAGAGAGGAGAAAGGGATGACTAGAGAGCTGTTGAAGTTCTGCCACCACCGTCAAGATAATATAGTCCACCAGTTTCATGCCCTCCACCAATCTTCATCCCGTCTTGAGATCCTGAAAAACACACATAGAAGGATAAAARGTAATGGAGCAGTTAAGTGATTTGGTCATCTTACTAACAGACATAAGATTAAAAGGCAACTTAGGAACATACAAAACTGAGAAGAGGGACACAGGGTCTAGGTCAACATTACCAACACCACAAATTGAGGATGTGGAACCATTAGCAAGGGTGACAGATTGTGATGTTGAGCAATGAGATAAGGAAGAAAACACACCTAGAGTTCCAGTCATGTGATCGGAGGCTCCAGAGTCAATGATCCAGGGATTGGGTGTGGATGCCAGACAAGCCATACCTGAGTGAGCGAAAGTCGCCGTGTTCTGCTGTGATTGGATAAACCTCTCATATTCATTACGGGGAACACTCACCATCTCCTTTACGGGACCATTTGTGGATGTAGGAGGTATCTAATAAGATGAATGATTCTCCTATCTAAAACTGGAACTGGAGTCACCGGTCGCGACATGATTGGCCCAGGTTGAGGGTGGACCATGTAGATCATAACAATAGTTGATGGTATGTCCATCCATACCACAATGAGTGCACTTCCTCGGGCCTNCATGATTGGCCCAGGTTGAGGGTGGACCATGTAGATCATAACAATAGTTGATGGTATGTCCATCCATACCACAATGAGTGCACTTCCTCGGGCCTGAGCCACGTCCTCTCTCACGGACTCCCCCTGAATCTCTGCCCCCAGTACGACCATCACCACGATTATAAGTAGGCCCACCATTGCCACTTCGGCCGTACACAGAACCATTACTACCACCACGGCCAAACTGAGYTCCCCGAGCTCCACCTCTAGCACCACAGCCTCTCAATACAGCAAAGGCAGATCTATCTGAGATATTAGAGTTCTCAGTAGATCCGATAGAAATCCTACGGAGTCGAGCAAATACCTCTTCTAAGGAGGGGAGAGCTGATCCTCCTAATATCCGAGCCCATACTAGTTCATATTCAGACTTCAATCCCACAAAAAATCTAGTCACATCAAGTTGTTCTCTCTGTTGTTGTTGGATCTTGACATCAGAAGTGAGAGGGTGATAGACATTCAATTCATTATGTATGTTTCCCATGCTGGCGTAGTACTCCTCAAGACTCTGATTGCCCTATTGCAGATTAAAGTACTCTTGATACAACTGATACACTATGGTTGTATTGTCCTGACCCGAATACAATTTTTTCGCATGGTCCCACACATCTTTGGCAGTGTCAAGAAACATGAAGTTTACACTAATCCTGTGTTCCATACTATTCCACAACCATGTGATGATCTGAGCATCCTCTTGCTCCCAGTCTTCATACTCATGAGAGTCAGTGGAGGGTTCTCCTCTCTTATGTGTTTTACCTTCTTCTTTGTCTTCAGAAAGACTTCAACGGATTTAGCCCAAGGCACATAATTCTCTCCATTTAGTTTAATGGAGGTCATCTGAATATTCAGGTAGTCTGTAGGCACCATCACATTAGGTTTACAATCACTGTTATCTCCCATTCTGTTATCATCGATTTTGCACACTTGCTGAATTCTATTACCACTGAATTCTGCACACTGCACACAACTAGATCACACTTGTCACACTGATTTCAGCACTTGTTGTTGCTGAAAAAGTGTGCTCTTTACACCACAAACCCTACCCCTACGGCTACCTGAAATATCACCACTATATGATCACAACTCTTCCTTTGAAATACATAAAAAAAAACAGCATAAACCCTAGCACAATACTATCTGAAACCCTAGCATATGGTCTGAAACACACTTCCTATTTGATCCATAACAGATATCATGCACAGAAATCTCTTACCTTATCACTGAAGGAACAACCACACGGGCAGGAAATCAGTCCACACAAGACAGCCATTGCACCACACAGAAACCACAGCAACCGACCACACAAGACCTGACTGGAGGCATAGAAACCTCCAAGGGAAGAGGGCGATCACTCCTTTTCAGCCCTTTCCCTTATCTCCAGTCGAATGCAGAAAAATCAAGAGAAACCCTAGATAGGGTGTGCAGAGAATAGAAATCTAGGCAGATTCAAGTARMTCTGATACCATGTTATGATTTGGCCTGCCTTGGAGTTCTATCTATCTGAGATAGGTTATGTAGAAAGAGGTAGAAAGGTGGAAGAAAGAGAGAAAGAGAGAGGAGAAAATCTGGTTCGAACTGGAAGTCTCAAGTCAGTTCTCCCAATCGGCCAGACAGTACTTTTATTATTAAAAAATAAATGAAAAGACATATGTGCCCTTTATTTAAGTAAGGAGCACTGGTTCTAACACAACATTACAAATCAGCAACATTAATCTAGGTATAAAGACAGAAATACCCCTACGCTAACAAAACCAAACCATAGAGTCCTTGGTAAAGGTGCCACAGAGAGAGATGTTTTTATATCTCGCACTGAAAACCCCTTTCGTTATTTCAATAATGTACAAAACTACAAATTAATATTCCATAACTAAGAGCAAAAGGCTCTCAGAGGGCAAGGAATCTCAGAGCTAACACGATTATTGGCCATTAGGTCAGACTCCTTGGTCGTGTTGAACTTATTCTTATAGAACATTTTATCTGAACCAAATTTCATGAGAGAGGTGTCTCAAAGGTTAAGAGGGATTCTTTTATCTACTAATAGAAGGGGACTCCAAGGTGGTAGTGGACTGGCTACAGAACCCTGAGTCTATTGTGTGGAGCTTTAAGAATGAGATTAAAAAATTTAAGTGGCTGATAAGGAGCTTGGCTGTTAATATTAAATGAGTAGGGAGATCAGCTTATGCTTTGGCTGACTGTCTAGAAAAGCAAGGGGCAAACAGGGAACAATTGTACTGGGCTCATTTGTAGTTTGTATTTGTTTTTCTGTTTTCTATTTCCTCTTGTTCTTTGGAGAGGACACAACTCACTCCTCTTCATGGAAAGTTTGTATTTCCAGCTCTTTTCTTAATGAAATCTTAAATTATTTATCAAAAAAAGAGAGATTATTTTATCTTTCTAAGAAGTTCCAGGAAATCTGGAATAGGATCAATCAAACTTGAGAGCTTTCTATGAATTTACAGATGGTGTGTGTCCATATCAGAAAATTAAGGTCAAGTATGTGATGTTAATGTTTCTCATGTTGATAGACCAGATAACACAAACCTTGTTTAGGGTACACAAATTTGCATAGCAGTAATAGGCATAATATGAGTATGCAGGATTAAATTCATTAGTCCATTCAGCTGGCTTTGGCATGTGTTTGGTAGGACGTCTTTCAGGTTTACTTTCATCATCTACAATGTCAAAACCAACTACCTGCATTGAAAAACCAAGAAACACAATAAGAGATTGCTCTAAACAAAATAAAGGAGACAGAAATGTGCTTCATCCAGGTATAAAAAAGAAAACAAAAAAAATACATGTAAAATAGAAATCAAGCACCATAATCCAGATAAATGAATTATATCTACAGATTCTACAATTAGTCAATCTGTGTTCATCTTGCTTCTGCCTGTCCCTTAACAAATGAAAGTGAAAACAGTAATTTCAATGGAGTCACAAATAATATTTTGTTATGCATGGCCTTGATTGTACATAGTTCTATTATGACAAATAGATAACTCACACAGAATTTAGTAGAATGTTATAATACGATCCATATTCTTAAGTTTTAATTTCAGAGAGGTTCACAATTATCACCCTCTGTTGCTCCCCCCTCTTGCTAATTCTTCCACTTTGTTCTGTTGAACAGATTCCTATAAAAGGAGTTTTCACAGAAGTTAGGAAAATGTACACCTCAGCTGCATTTCATGAAAATTCTTTTTTTGAGTAGTAACCTAAAAATATTAAGGATGTACTAGAATAAGGCAAAAGCAAAGCACTGCTTTATAGTGCACAACTCTGACCGCATAAAAGATCCCTTCTTCTGAATAAACCAATATCTGTAAAAGCTAAGGACCAAGTCATTACTCTGGGCATCTGCATAAAGTTGAACCAGTGATCTTTCCTTAAAAAAATTCCATGGTTCCTTTCCTTCCAAATGCTCCATTAAAAAAGAATAAGGCACTGTATTTCAACAGCACACCTGGAACCCACCAAAACTGGAAAACATGACAACTGAAAAAAAAAATGTGTGAATTGAGGAGTAAGAGCCTAATGCCTAAGAGAGTTGAAAAGTAGGGCTGCAACTTGGGCAGGCTCAGGTTGAGAATTTGCTAAAATTTGAATGGTTCCGTGCCCCAATGCTGTGTAAATTCCTCAAGTAGTGCACCCAACTTGCACCCTTATTGAAAAAAAAAAAGCTCAAAAAAGTCCTAAAGCAGCAACCGGGGGGAAGGGGCAAAAGAGAAATAAGTGATGAACCACCAACCAAGTCCACAACGGCTTTGCACATTTAAAATCTATTTGGAGTAGTTAATTGTGAGGACCTGGTTAACGAAAACAGGTTATATGAAAGCTTTGGTTTTAGGAGGACCCATCCACCTAAATGCAACAAGCTTCTATAGTCTTAATTAAACTTCTAGAAAGGGCCACATAAAAGGGTCAATTTTTGACAAGTTGGTATTGTATCAGATAATCAAAAAGTAGGATCAATCTTCCATAGATATGATATCTACATGGCCAATGAGTAAGTAGAATTTGCTGATAACAGTTTCAGATGAATGCCTTGTGAAGAAAAGTAGAAGAAGCTGAAAGGTTTCAGCAGTAGAGAAGAAGAAGAGAGGAGAAGAAAAGAGAGTGGGATGTTGCCAGAATTGAATGGATCTGGCCGCCAGCCCTCTTGATTTATATACTTAAAATAAAAGAATGGAAGATTACATGAATACCCTTAGTAGGGCGGCTACTTTAAGTAGCTGAACAGTCACAACTTAAAATAACATAAACTAATGGGCCTAAGGCACAACTACTTCCTAACTTAACAACTTAAAAATAAAAATAAAAGGTTGGGCCCAATAACTTAAAATTGGCCCAATCTCAACACTCCCCCTCAAGTTGGGAGTAAATGCCACACATTCCCAACTTGCGTAGATCATGCTCCAGCTTGTTCCTTGCAACACCTTTTGTAAGAACATCAACAAGCTGCAAATCAGAAGCAATGTATGGGAGACAAACTTCCCCTGAAGTCATCCTTTCTCTTATGAAATGTCTATCCACTTCAATGTGCTTTGTCCTGTCATGCTGAATTGGGTTGTGGGCAATGTTAATTGCTGCCTGATTATCACAGTACAACATCATAGGTTTTTCTGCCTCAACACCAATCTCTCCTAACAAGGAACGGATCCAGAGAAGCTCTGAAACTCCATGTGCCATGGCTCTTTATTCAGCTTCTACACTTGACCTTGCCACAACTGTCTGTTTCTTACTTTTCCACGAGACAAGATTACCCCCAACAAGAGTGCAAACTCCTGATGTTGATCTCCTGTCATCAAGGCATCCTGTCCAATCAGCATCGGTATAAGCCTCCAGCTTCAACTGTCCATGGTCAACAAAAAGTATGCCTCTGCCTGGGTGTCCCTTCAAATAAGCAAGAATCCTGTCAACAACCTCCCAATGCTAGACTCGTGGGCCATGCATGTATTGACTCACCACTCACTGCATAGGAGATGTTTGGTCTTGTCATACATAAATATAGCAGCCGCCCCACAAGTCTCCGATATCTCCCAATGTCCTTTACCAGCTCACCTTCTGATGCATTAATTCTGTAATTCTGATCAATAGGAGTATTGGCTGCCTTTGTTCCAAGTTTCCTTGTTTCTTGTAAAAGGTCCAGAACATATTTCCTCTGAGAAATGAAAACTCCATGCTTTGATCTTGTAACCTCAATGCCCAAGAAATATCTCAGCTCCCCAAGATCCTTAATTTCAAATTCTGTGCAGATTCTTCTTCAAATTGTTAACCTCACTCAAGTCATTTCCTGTAACTACAATATCATCCACATAAACAATCAGAACTGAAACCAATGACCCCCTCCACTTCACAAACAAAGTATGGTCTGATTGAGTCTGAGTGTAGCCAAAAGCAATCAAGGCCTTCCTGAACCTGTCAAACCATGCTCCGGGAGACTGCTTTAAACCATAAAGTGACTTCTTCAATCTGCATACCTTCCCCTTTTGAGCATCATTGTAGAAACCAACAGGAAAATCCATATACACTTCTTGCAAATCCCCATTCAAAAAAGCATTTTTTACATCAAGTTGGAAAAGGGGCCAAGAGTATGTAGCAGCAAGAGAGAGAAGGATCCGAACAGAAGTCATCTTTGCAATTGGTGCAAAGGTTTCTAAGTAATCAATGCCATAGGTTTGAGTGTACCCTTTTGCAACCAGTCTGATCTTATAACTTTCTATACTTCCATCTACCTTTTGCATCCAACAGTCGCCTTGCCCACTGGTAAATCAACAATCTCCCATGTCTGATTCTTAATTAAGGCTTCCATCTCTTCCTGCACAGTTGTTTTCCACTCGGGTTTGGAGAGAGCCTCACTGACACCCTTGGGTATAGACACGGAGTCAAGGAAGAAAGGAAAGCACGATAAGAAGGAGAAAGTCCACTATAGGATAGGTATTGTGAGATATAAAGAGTAGTACACTTTCTCTTCCCTTTTCCGAGTGCAATAGGAAGGTCCAAGTCATCTGTAATGGGATTAGTAGAATCAATAGAAACTGAAACAWTAGAGGGATCAAGAGGAATACCTGAGTCAATGTCATCCAAATCTGGAGTCTCCAAGGAACCGGTAGGAAGTGATGTGGGTTCTACTACAGTGGAATCAACCTCCCTATGAAGTCATAGGCGCTGTCGTGAGTAACACTGAGAAGCAAGACACAAGGGAGGTGGTAAGATAGGTGAGAAAGGAGGATCAAACACAGAGATTGGAGTGGACACAAGGACTAGAACTGGAAGAGGAATAGACTGCTCACTCATTTCCCCAAAACACTCCCCCTGAGAAGAACCCTTCGAGAAAAAGGATGTGGACTTAAAAAAGGTGACATCCATAGTAACATACCGACTCCCAAAGACTAGGTCATAGCAACAGTACCCTTTCTGAATTTCTGCATACCCAAGAAAAACACACTTCTTTGCCTTTGGATCGAGTTTCATGTAGTGAGGACCAAAAACATGTGCAAAGCAAACACAACCAAAAACCTTGAGAGAGATATGGAACATCTCCCCCTCAGGAAAAAGGAGGTTAAATGGGGTGTTGAATCCAAGTACACGAGAGGGCACCTTATTAATAAGGAAAACTGCTGCGAGAACTGCATCACCCCAAAACCGAACTAAAACAGTAGACTGTAAGAACAACAATCTCGACAATGTGTTTGTTCTTCCTCTCTGCAACACCATTCTGCTGTGGACTGTAAGAACAACTGCTCTAATGAATAACTCCATACTCTAACAGATACGAAGCAAGGTTCTTCTCAAAATATTCCTTGGCATTGTCTGACCTGAACACCTTCACTCGTACCCCAAACTATGTTAGCACCATATGATGAAACTATCGAACCAAGGACGGTACCTCATCACAAGATCTCATTAAGTAAATCCAAGAATACTGAGAAAAATCATCCACAAACAAAAGAAAATATCGGTAACCACCCATAGAAGGAACATGGTATGATCCCCACACATCAGTATGAATAACATCAAAAGCAAATGGACACCTTTTATTACTAGCTATAAATGAATGTCTACAATGTTTTCCAAGCTAACAGCTTTCACACTCTAAGGTAGACAAATTAACAGACTCAAATAACTTCGGAAACAAGAAACGCAAAGAAGAAAAAGACAAATGTCCCAAACGATTATGCCAAAGCATAATCTGACTCACAGACTCTGACTCAAAATCCCTGCTAACATGATATCTCTAATGATGAGGAAGCGCATCCAGGAGGTAGATTCCATTCACCTCACGACCACTCCCAATCATTCTCTTTGAAACCAGATACTGCAAAACACAATGGCCAGGAGAAAAAATCACTGAGCAATTCAAGTTCTTAGTCAAACTACTAACAGATAACAAGTTAGTACTCAATCTGAGAACAAGGACAGAGGGTAGGGAAATGGAATCAGTAATCTTGACAGACCCCTTCCCAGCAATGGGAACATGAGATCCATCGGCTATGGAAACTGTCTCTACCAGAACAGAGTTGGTAAGAAGAGAAAATAGTGGAACTATGGGTCATGTGTTCTGAGGCTCCAAAATCTATAATCCAAGGAAGTCCCTCCTTACCTGTAGTAGAAACATGGTTTGCAGTTGCATGTGAACTACTTGTAAGAGCAAAGGAAGTAGAATGTCCACCAGAACCACTTGTACCTAGCTGTATCTCGCTGATTTAGTAACTACCCATACCTCTCAAGTTCGACCCTCACTACAGCAGCTGCAACAGACTCCAAAGTAGCTATAGTAGGGGGCAAGGTAAGTCACCAGTGACTGCCATGTTAGCATTTCCCTTCTTGTTTTTGAGTCTATTCGGCACAAGGTGAGGATGAAGCTTCCAGCAATAATCTCTCATGTGTTTAGGCTTCTTATAGTGRTCACAAATCAGATCCTTCTTATCTTCCTTCCTGGTTTCATTGCCACCCTGGTCTCCATTCTGTTTAGGTTTCACAGTACTGACCATGGCTGACTATTCAAGACCTGAATTCCTCATCATTACATTCCTCCTACTCTCTTCCCCTGATACAAAGGCATATGCCTGAGAAAGAGTAACACCATCCCTGGAAAAGATATTTTGCCTTGCAATGTCATACTCGGGATTGAGACCAGCAAGAAATTCAAAAACCCTATTCTTCTCTAACAGTTCTAACCACTGTCTCCAGATGGTCAATCTCCTACCACAGGGTTTTAAGGGCCGAAAAATAAACAGCGATAGGTTTATCTCCCTGTCTGGTAGAAATAACTTTGTTCCTCAACTGATAGGCCCTAGCAACATTTTCATTCTATGAGTAGGTTTCTGCAACTCCATCCCAAATTTCCTTAGTTGTATTTGCCCACAAAAAAAATTTACTTATATGGAGCAGCATAGAATTGCACAGCCAAGTCATTACCATATAATTTTCCTATACCCACCAGGAACTGTTAATCTCGGGTTTCACTTCCTCACCAGTGATATACCCCAACTTCTCACGAGCACCAATGGCCATCTTTGCAGATTGTGACCATTCTAAAATATTTGTACCATCCATCTTAATTATTGTAGTGATGGTTCCAACCCCGAAAAGGGCTCCGATACCTCCTTCCACTGACCCCATTTCATTCCCCGGTTTGTTCTCAACTCCGTGACCCTCCATAATCCCCAAAAAAGAGGTAAAAGATCACTTTAAGATGAAAGAATATGAAATAAAACCCTTCAAGCACCACAGACACCCTTCTGGTACCTTAGATGATCCTTCCACAAAAGATTCCTTTCTGCAAGACGAGAGAAGAGAGAGAAGAAGCAGCCGCTCCCTCCAGAGGCCTCCAAAACAGATGGGACTTGAACCGCCCCTTCAGAAAACTCCAAGGAACCCTAAAAAATTAGGGCACCACTTCCTAGGTCAAAATTGAAGAGTCCTAGAAAAATATGACTCTCCCCCTTTCTCCAGTTCTTCCTAAATTTGATGGTAAACCCTAGACCAGCTACAAGGCAAAACAAATCCATCAAAAAAATCCAAAAACTGGGCTTACCTGAGATCTTCGATCAGCCTCTCATATCACCATGTAGTTGGCCGATCTAGGGCTGCATGATAAAGCAGCTCAAGAAACCTTCGATTTGCTCTGATACCAARTAGAATTTGCTAATAACAGTTTCAGATAAATGCCTTGTGAAGAAAAGTAGAAGAAGCTAAAAGGTTTCAGCAGTAGAGAAGAAGAAGAGAGAAGAAAAGAAAGTGGGATGTTGCCAGAATTAAATGGATCTGGCCGCCAGCCCCTCTTGATTTATATACTTAAAATAAAAGAATGGAAGATTACATGAATACCCTTAGTAGGGCGGCTACTTTAAGTAGCTGAACAGTCACAACTTAAAATTACATAAACTAATGGGCCTAAGGCCCAATTACTTCGTAACTTAACAACTTAAAAATAAAAATAAAAGCCTGGGCCCAATAACTTAAAATTGGCCCAATCTCAACAGAGTATAAACCAAGAAGAGCATGCTCAGTTACTTGGTGCCCTCTTTTTAGACAAAATCTTAATGATTGGGAATTGGACCCGTTGTTGGAGTTGTTGCAGCTGTTACGAAGGCAATCTATTTCAGCGAATGTGGAGGATGAGTGGAGGTGGAAATGGAGTGGAGATGGTTATTTTTCAGTCAAGTCCATGGTTTCTAAACTGAGTAAAGGCAGCATTATTAGCTTCCTAGTAAGCAGGTGTGGAATCCAATTAGCCCTTCCAAATCCAACTTTCTTGTCTGGGTGCTGGCTTTAAATAAATGTCTGTCTAGAGTCAACTTGGTTAGGCGTGGAGTTCAGATTTCAGATTTCAACTGTGGCTTGTGAGGGCTCCTTCCTGAGACTGTGGACCATCTCAGTATTCACAGTTCTGTCTCTGCTAAAATTTGGGAGCATTTCCTAAAGGAAGCTGGTGTAAATTGGGTCATGCCTGGTTCTGTCAAGGATTTATTGTGCTGTTGCAAGCTGCCTGGTCTGAGGAAGAAGGGGAAACTGGTCTGGGAAACAATTCCTGCAGTTATTTTAGTATCTTTATGGTCAGAGAGAAACAATCAAATTTTCTGTAACAAAGTAAGAGACCCTGAAGACCTAATACAGCTTGCAGTGAATAAAATTGCTTCTTGGCTATCTGTAAGCCCAGAGTTTAAGCACCAGAATGTTTTTCAGCTGCTTTGCTCTCAATCTGTACGGGATTTGTAAGCTGGCTTTCTCCCTGGTGAGGTCCACTGGGAAGCTGTTGTAATATTTCCGTCTGTTACCAATAAAATTTCTTACCTTACCTTTCAAAAAAAAAAAAATCCTATACACCAAATAAGAAATCATATAAACTATGCTCTCATTGCCTCCAAAAGTGAACAAAATCAGGCCCTTGGAGTTTCCTAGAATGAAATGACAAAACAACCAGCTGCCTTTCTATTTTTTTGCGGATGGCCAACCCCAAGTTCAAGGTTTTACTTTATACATGTTGAGTTTCTTAAATGGATCTTACCGAGAAATTTCCTTTCAGCTCCTGTTTGAAAATAATTTCGTCTCTCTGACGAGGATAAAGTGAAATCTTCAAACTCTCAAAGGAGAAAAAAAAAAACATACATTATTATAAAACTCATGGATAGGCCTTCCACTCAAGCAAAGACCTTTGGTAAAGTTTTGGATAATGCTTACTAAATTTTCAGAGCCCCCAACAATTAGCTTCCCAAAAGAGAATCTTAAAACCATCTTCAGTCCTGACAAATATAAAAAATGATTTAAGTTTTTCATGATTACTAAAAATTCACCAATACTCATGGTCCTAGAAAACAAGGCAAAAGGAGTCCCCCCCCTTCCAGAATCTCTAGGGATCTCTACAACCATTTCAACCAAGTGCCAGAACCATTTTTCTGGAACCCAAGCCACCAAGTGGTTTAGGTTGATGCATCCACTTCCTTTTTTTTTTTTTGCTTATGGGGCTACACAATGGGGGGGGTAGCCCACCCCAAAATTCATAACCCCCCCCCAACGCTGATGGCAACAGGATTTGATCCCAAGTCTCCATGACAAGCCAGAGAACTTATCTCCTCTACTATTTGAAAGAAAAACTACTTGAATTTTCTACACATCAACTTACCCATTTAAAGCTTGTCTAAATGAATAGTGATAACCAATGAAAGGATAGGAGCAAAATCACTGTTTCTAGTGATTTGTGCCATGATAACATGTTGGATAGAAAGAGAAAAATAGCAAGACTTATGATATAGTTTAGTATCTGCACCTTGCACCTCTTTGCAGGGAGTTTGTTGTATGTAACYTGTGTTGTTTTAATTAATAAAATTGCCATTACCTATCGAAAAAAAGATAAGTAACAAGACTTGGGAATGGATAAATGTGTGAACTAAATAGATTATAATTACAGTTTGCTTTTATTGTAGAGATGTAGAACAATAATGTGGTCCCCACTGCTGCATGTCTGTTTATGTTGTTTATGTCGCTGTTAGTATGTTAGCTGGATTGGTTGGTAGTTATTTTCTGTTATCTTTTAGCTTATGTAAGAAGTAGAGATAATTCTGGTTTTTACCCTGTTTTAAATCATTAATATAAATAGTTGAGTGGGGCGACAACCTCAGTCATGACCCACTCTTCTTTGAATTTTTCTCCTCTTCGTGCTCTCTTTTCTCCTTCTCCTCTTCTTCTCTGCATTCTTCCTTGTTTATTTCACATCTAAACTAGGACTGACTGCAGTCTTACTAAACAAGTTTTATATTATCATCTAGAAAAAGAAAGGTCAAAAGCAATGGTAGTAGCTAGAACTAAACTATATGATTATGGTGAAAGGATATCTATTTTCACTTAAACAAGCTATTACTTTTGTGGGGTGGGATCCTATTATTCATAAACAAAGCACATCCCTAATTATTAGTCCAAAACACTCTTCTTAAAGAAAAAAAGCACCCCTCTACTGGATTTTCACAATTACAGGATGCATTCTGTTTAGAAAAAAATGAGGTGTGCCAAAATCAACTAATTCTGTGTGTCAAAGGGCCTTTTTATTTATCTGCAAGGAGAATGAATAGGACTATAGGAGTTCTAAATTTCTAATAACTCTAAATCCCAAATTTCAGGAGTAAAATTTCTAAGAACTACCAATCCCAAAAGTTTGGGAGCATAGTTTGGTGCAGTTCTGCTCAAGTTAAATGATCAAAAACCTCCATGGATACAGTTGTTTACAAATGTTCATGTGGATATGCAGCCAAATGTAAAGCAGAAAACCTCCTGAAACAATGATAATTGAAGAAACATCTAAACACCATTTGGAAGAAAAGAATAGCTACTCTAGTATTTGAGACTCTTCTGGAAAAAGGAAAAAAGAACTCGAACAGATCAAAAAACCTGCATTAGAAAAACATGGAGCTGGGGATGAGAATTTGGATCAACTGTGACTTCAAAGAGTGGAATGAACACATTATCCAAGATATTCTGAAATGATGTAACAATCCCCATTTGCCGATACACATTGTATAACCGTGGTAGCTGAAAAAAAGTGGTAAAGGTGAAAAAAGAAAACATATAAACACATGTTAGTTTACAATAATCAAGTTTATTCAAAATTCCAAAGCTTGACAAAAAAGAAAATCATAAGAACAAACTTGTTGGTAAAGATACTGTTTGTGGTATATGCATGCTCCTAATAATGGTTCTATAATTTCAAGACTTCAAGGTGAAAAAAACGTACAAAACAATAAAAATTCTAAGTAAAAGTTTCCTAATTAATACCATGGTAGGCATAATAACAATGATAACTGAGGTGACAACAGCACAAGTAACCTTAATACCTTATAGGGGTAGTTTAGTCATTTTATTTACCATTACAAAATATAATGAAAGGGCCAATTGCCGGAGTTTTTTTTTTTTGTACACTAATAACTCTATCTTCTCTTTCTCTTTCTCTTCATTTCACTTAAGTATTACCATTTTCTTTCTTACCATTCTCCTTCCTTCTCTTTCTTATCTCTTCTATTTCAATGTCATATCAGCCTTTTGGTTCTTGTTGATCACTGCACAGATAGAGGCCTATTGACATGATGACATCACCCAAGCCATAGATGATGTCTGTACAGACAGTTACATGCAACTGGAAAACTGATTTGGGCTTTTTATAAATCTCAATTTTAAGGTTCCTTTTGTGACAAATATAAGCCTATTTGGGTTGATTTCAATTTCATCTTAAAATTTTTCCGTGAAAACCAGAAAAATTCAATTTTCAAGTCAAGTTCAAGATTCATTACAGTGTTTTGTTTGGACTTTGGAGTTAGGGTCAGTATTGTTTGACCATATGAAGTATTAGAATTCAACAGGCATCCTCTTGGAAGATTTCATGAAGGTTTGAGAGTTCTGTGAAAGAAAGCCTCTTCCATATTTACTGCATGGTTCTATATAGGGGTGGCAATTTACCACCCAACCCACTGAACCCACCCAATCTGCCCATTTRTTTGGCGGGTTGGAAATGGGTTGATCACCCATTGGGTCAATTTAAATGGGTTGGGTTGGGGGTAACCATTGGTTTTTTTTTTATCAGCAAAAGAGAATTTTATTTGAAATTAGGGTTAAAATAAGGTTTTACAGCTTTGTGTATAGGATTAAAGCTCCCACACTATTACAAATTTCTGTCCCACTTTACATTGCAGCCCAAAACAATTGTTGCCTCAAAGCCCCTTGTTTAGCAAGATAATCAGCTAGCCCATTTGCGCTCCTTCTAACCCATTTGAATTCAGCCTCTACCTCCTTTGCAACCTTTTCCACTTCCCTTATCACTTGTTTGAAGGTCCACGGAAAACTTCTATTGTTTTTAGCCCAAGAAATGATCACCTTGGAATCCCCTTCAACCTCAATGTGCCTCGTTCCCAGTTGCTTAGCTATCTTCAGCCCTTGTAGCAATGCCATTAACTCAGCTTTTATAGAGCTGCCCATGCCAATCGGTCCAGAGAACAAAGCTAATATTCTCCTTTCAGAATTTCTGATTACTCCCCCAATACCTAACAGTCCCAGATTTCCAAAAGAGCTTCCGTCAAAATTCAGTTTAAACATGTTACCATCTGGAGATTTCCATTCCATCCTTACTTTCTCCTTTACTCTTGAAGATTGTGCTACTTCTGTCCAAGATCTTATAATGTCTATGATTGAGAAATCTTGAAAGATATGTGCATAGATCTTACCCAGTGAGCTACTTTAACTTTGATGGTGTCAATTACCTCCTCCATTGTTCTACTTCTGTCCAAAAATATTCTGTTATTCCTTTCTTCCCAAATCACCCAGCAAATAGCTGCCTTTGTAGCTTTGCATACAACCTTCTCTCTTTTCTTTGGTTGACTCAAAAAATCCTGATTGAAGAATCCTGCCACATCTTGAGGGGAAACCCACCTGCAACCAAAGAAAGTACAAAAAAATTCCCAAATGTGATGCACAAAGGAGCAAGACAATAATAGGTGTGCCAGGGACTCACCACTTTCCATACAAAGAGAGTACATGTGAGGAGAAAGGCATACATAAGGCCTTCTTCTCTGTAGCATATCACAAGTATTTACCTTGCCAAGGAAGATTTCCCAACAGAAAGCTTGAATTTTTAGGGGAATAGGCTTACTCCATATTTCTTTCACAGGGAAATCCCCAACTAGGATGCTAGGTGAAGCAAGAACGGTAAAGAACGAAGAACAAGAGAGGAGGTCATCTGAGGAGCCTTTCCATATTCTGGAGTCTTCCAAGGATGGGTCCAAATGAACTTGTATTAGGTCCAGCAATTGAACTAAAGAGTCACATTCATTTTCCCTGAGGCCCCTTTTGAAACCTAGATTCCAATTAACCCCATTTGGACTAGGATTTCCCAAATTTTTTATTGTTTCCCCTTTGAAATTTGACAAAGTGTAGAGGTCAGGAAAAAGGTCCTTAAGTGGACTATCTCCCACCCAAAGGTCTTCCCATAAACGAACTTTATTACCCTAGCCCACATCAAGTCGAATGGAATTAAGGAATGTCAATTAAATTTCATAAATTGCTTTCCAAGGAGAAGCTAAAGAAACATGAGGGGCAATTTTTGCATCCCAACCATTTCCATCCAAACCATGAGTACTCTCAATGACTTTATGCCACAACCTGTCTCTCTCAAAAGGGAATCTCCACAACCATTTTCTTAATAAAGCTGAGTTCCTGAGTGAAATATTTCCTATCCCAGACCTCCTTGATCCTTGGGCTTGCTAACTTGGTCCCAATTAATCAAGTGGACCTTCCTCTCCTCTCCTAGGTCCTATAAGAAATCTCTCATGCATTTCTCTAAATTCCTTACTACTCTACAGGGTATTCTAAAGGTTGAAAGGAAATAAATAGGGAGGTTTGTCAAAGTGTCTCTAATCAAGGTTATCCTTCCACCTAGAGAGATATAATTCCTCTTCCATAGAGCTAGCTTCCTAGCAAATCTTTCAATGACTAGCTTCCAAAAACCTTCTGACCTAGGATTGCCTCCTAAAGGTTACCCCAAGTAGCTCATTGGCCAACTTCTAATCTCGCACCCCAAAATCTCTGCAAATCTATGGAGTTCCCCTTCCTCCAGATTAACCCCTACAATGCCTGTTTTAGTCCAATTTATCCTTAAACCTGTCACTCCCACAAAGTTATCCAATAGTAATTTTAGGTTTACCACTCCTTCCTCATTCCCACCCTCACAAAAGAATATTGTATCATCTACAAAGTGGAGGTGGGTGACAACCACTTGATTTCTACCTATCCTCCACCCTCTAAACAGTCCTTGGGAATCAGCATTCGCCACCATTCTACTTGACACCTCAGCCGGAAAGAAACCCTTCGCTACACCATTAAGAAGAATTGAGTAATGGACATAACTTAGGCATCCTCTAATCCAAGATCTCCATTTGGTTCCAAAGCCCAACCTTTAACATTTGAAGAACTTCCCAATTAACCATATCATAGGCTTTCTCTAGGTCCACTTTACACACCAACCCTTTTCCTCTACCCTTTCTTTTTTCTGCAACACACTCATTGGCCACTAGAATTTGATCCACAATCTGCCTTCCTTCCACAAAGGCACCTTGGAAAGGTGAGATGATCGATGGTAGCACTTTCTTGATTCTTTCTGAGAGAACCTTTGCAATAATTTTATATACACTCCCAATAAGACTAATTGCCCTATAATCTTTAAGGGTTTTGGCTTCTCTCTTCTTCGGGATTAAAGTGATAAAAGTGGCATTCACCCCCCAAGGCACCTCTCCTTTGAGAAAGAATTCATTGAACACTTTCAGAATATAAGTTTTCATCCAATCCCAGCATTCTTGATAGAAGGCCATCAAAAATCCATCCAGCCTGGGGGCTTTTGATCTTTCCATGGAGAAGATTGCATCCTTGATTTCTTCCAAAGTAAAATTCCTTTCTAAAAACAAGGAATGCCTCTTCTGAGATCCTATCCCCTTCCATTTTTGGTAGCTCTGTTGTCACCCTGCTTGAACTTGTGAGAATTTCCTTGAAATGGTTTACAAAGATCCTTGTGATCTCCTAGCTTTCTCTTACTTTCTGACCCCCCCTCCTCAACACTAAAGATTAAGTTTTTCTTTCTTCTTCCATTTGCAATTGCATGGAAAAACTTAGTGTTACCATCTCCTTCAGCAATCCAATGATACYTTGACTTCTGTCTCCAACATATTTCCTCATTTCTTAATATCTCTTCCAATCCTTGCTTGATTTTCCATCGATCCTCTCTCTCTTCTTCTGATAACATTCTGATAGCCTCTTTCTTGTCTAGCTCCTCAATCTTCCTCACTATGTTATCTTTTATTTCCTCTACCCTCCCCAAATGCTCTTTATTCCACTCTTTTATTTTCCCTTTTATCCTCTTTAATTTCCATGCAAAGCTTTCAATTTTCATACTCCCCAAAGGTCTAGGTTCCTGCCACCACTCCTTCAATCTGGTTTTAAATGAGTGATCCTCAAACCACATATTTTCAAACTTGAATGGAGTAGGGCCTCCTCTTGGACTTTCCTTCTCAATGGAAATGGGGCAATGGTCTAAAGTAACCCTAGGTAGCCCTTTCCCTACTATTGAGCCCTACAATTCTTCCCAATCGGGAGTAATGAGAAATCAATCCAGTTTGGAACAGGTTGGGGGATTGAAAATTTGACCAAGTATAGTACACCCTTAGCATCGGAGGTTCACTCAATTCAAGGGAATCAGTTAAGTTATTAAGCTTCCTCATGCTGGTAATGATTCCTTGGTTCGGATTGTTTGTTTCTCCCAAAAATCTGATGACATTGAAATCACCTCCCACACACCATGGTGACTCCCAGATTCCCCTAATAGCACATAATTCCTCCCAAAAAGCCTCCCTATCTCTATAGGAGTTAGGACCATATACATTTGTTACCACCCATTCCCTTCCATCCAATAGTCTTCTAATTTTTAAGGAGACTGAATATCTACTAATCAATTCCTCCACACATTCCATTTCCTCATTTCTCCAAATGGTCAAAAT